AGCTCTCTTCCTCACAGAGATTCACAGTTCTGCCTCCTGCTGGGTGGGTGAACTCAGGCAGTTCTTTCCTCTCTCAGAGCTTCAGTTTCCTCTTCTGCAAAATGGAAATTATGTTCATAATCATGTTGAAAGTCTCTAGGTGACACAATTAATGCACTCAGCTGCTAACTGAAAGTTTGGAGGTTCAAGTCTACCCACAGCACCAAGGTAGAAAGACCTGGTGATCTACTTCCCAAAAAATCAGCCATTGAAAACCCTAAGGAGCACAGTTCTACTCTGACACACATGGGGGCGCCATGAATTGGCATCTACTCCGCGGCAACAGGTTTGGTTTGCTTTCTTTTCTTTAGATTGTGAAAAGGATCACTCAGAGGGCACAGCCTGGTGTTTCATACGTGGTTGGCACTTTGAAACCAGGAACTAAAAAAACCATTCTTTTGAGGAGTGAACGCCCTCTCATTGGAAGGCTGAGTTTAGAAATTGGTGGTTTCCTAAGTCAAGATTTGCTGAAAAGCAGAAGCTTTCTGTAGCAATTTTAAAACCAAGCTTTGTGGTTTGACTTCAGCCTGGATTCGTGGTTCCTGAGGTAGGTGGAGGAGGAGGCTGGGCAAGCGCCTTTAGGTTCCCTGGAGGAACAGGTCATTTCACCCAGGTGCCGGCAATGGGCATACCCCGCCCTCCTAGCTCACACACACCCCTCTTACGAGGTGCACCTGACTGCCAGCTAGTGCGTGGGGCAGGCCTGCTGAGACATGCCCTGGGATAGAAACGCAGGGAGCCCTGCCAGGGCCCTCCTACTGCTCACTTCCCGGGGAGGCTCCGCCAGCACTGCATAACCAAGAGCGGCAGCCCCACCCAGGGGGCCCTGCCACCCAAGTGTGGTTCTGGTGCCAAGGGAGGGTGGCACACTCTGCACAACTCTGGCTCTGATTAAGGGCAGTACATGGAAATCAAGTCCAGGAGTGCTTATGACTGAGGCTGCTGCCCAGGCCCAGGGATGCCCCCCAGCTCCTGCCCTGTCCCACAGGCCCCGTGGAACCCCTCAATGTCCCCAGGGCCTGGTTCTGAGACCCCACTCAATTCCTCTCCAACCCCAACGCCTGGCAGCAGGCAGAGCTATCTTCTTTAACTTTGGGGGACACTGTTTAGAGAGTGAGGTCTGGAGACAGACACACCTAGGTTTCAATTCCAACTCTGTCACTTAGCATCCAAGAAGCCTAGGGCAAGTGATCTCACCTCTTAGAGGTTCAGGATCCTCGTTAAGAAATGAGTACGATAAAAATAAAGCCCATCTCTGGGTTGACATGTTGTGGGGTTGTTAACCAATGTCATAAAACAATATGTGTACTACTGTTTCATGAGAAACTATTTGTTCTGTAAGCCTTCACCTGAAGTACAATAAAATATATAAATAAATAAATAGAGCCCATCTCCTTTGGTATGGCATGACAGAAGTATTTGGGGGAAGAGATTCAGATGTAACGGGCTTCCATGCAGCAGGTACCCCCCCTACCCTTTACTGTCAGCCTTTGTGCCTGGGACCCAGGCCCCCCTAACATATGCAGATGAAGTTTGACACTGTCTCCACCAGCCCTGATTTGGAGCTGGTGAAGAAGGGATGAAAGGGGGGAGGAAAAAAAATGGGGAGCCTTGCCCTGGAGATCAGCTTGGTACACTCACAACACAAGCAGGCAGACTCTGCAGTTCTTCCAGGGCCAGGAAACGTAAGGCCAATAAGACTCATGAGTTTTAACCATAATTCATTCCTCTGGCTTCATGAGGGCTGCAAGGGGCTCAGAGGATCACTGGACTGGAAGGTACCTTAGGGACATGTGATGCAGGAAGCCCCTCCCCAGCCACCCTCCCAGGGCATCACACAGCTTCTCCTTGCACCCATCCTGTGTCAGGAATCACCCTCTCTCCCAAAGCCACCTGCCCACCTTTGTAGAGCAGCTTTGATTTCCTTCCTCAGTGTGGTGCCCAGAACCAAACAGACTTCTCCTAGAACAGTCTAATCAGCATGCACTGGAGCAGCAAGCCCCTTCTTTGTTCTAGAGACTATTCTTCTACTAATGTATCCCTGATTGTTATCTTTCTCCCCACCCTGGTGGGGCAATGGTTAAATGCTTGACTGCTAACCAAAAAGTTGGCAGTTTAAACCCACCCAGTGAGAGAAAGACCTGGAGATCTGCTCCCATAAAGATTACAGCCTAGAAAACCCTATGTCACAGTTCTGCTTGGTCACATGGGGTCGTTATGAGCCAAGACTGACTTGATGGCACCCAACAACAACCACCACACATATGATTATTGATCATATCAGGATTCAAGATTACCATAAACTAAAACTCATTCATTTATAACTCTTGCCTACCCCTTCTTTTCTTCCTTCACTTCTTCTTCCCTCCTTCTTTCCTGTCTTCTCTCAGCTCAGAATAATGCATCTCTGCAGTCAATTGATTTAACTGTGTATTGAACACCTGTGTATGCCAGCCCATTGCTGGGCACTGGGGAGTGATAGATGAATACGGCCTGGGCCCTGTCTGCAGAGGAGACAACAGAAGGGTACCAGCTACAGCACCTGCCTCCAGGGTATAACGGAGGGACAGGACACAATGCAGAGGGACCTCAGAGCAGTGAGCAAATACCATACATGCCCAACTATAAGGCAACTCAAGTAAAGCCAAGGCCAATCCCTATTCTCCCAATGAGAAGATGCACAATAAAGCTAAATAGTATAAAATTTATGAGATAGAGATGAAATAGATGTCTACTTGTAATATTTAATTTACTACTTTAGTTAGACATACATCTTTAAAATCATTTTACATAAGATAATATATTAATTCAGAAAGACTGCTTTTGTCTACTCTCAAATTTCAAGTAACTATTTGGTTCAAATTCTTCATATGTGGCTTTGACACCAGTGTTACTGTCATGGGGGGAGGAGGGGGCTTTTTTAGTTTTCTGCAGCACGTCTTATTCATGGGAACAGAGATGCCTGAGACACAGCCCTTTTGAATCCATGTAGCCAGTGGCCACTGGAGACTGTGTCCCCACCGCAGGGGGCACCTACAGAACTCGAGGACAGGTGGGGCCTCATTGTTGCAGGTGGGCATTTGTGATCTGCACAACACGGTCAGTTACTGGGGTGCTCTGAAAGTGGGCTGTAAAAGGCCAGTTTGCAATAACCTCCTACCCTTGCAGCCACAAAGTCCTGTTTAGTCTGCACTGCTTTATCTGAGTAAAATTCCCTTGAACCTTTTTTTAATAATGCTGACCTCCACATACATCCCAAAATTACATGGATTGAGGGTTTATCAAGCTAACGTGCATTTCCAAAACAGGACTTTGCGGTTAAAAATTAAGTAACTGGGACAGTACCCACAATATGAGAAACTTATTAAGAACTCAGATAAATACAAGGCAGCCTTATGTTCAGACATATATGATAAGTCAGGGTGGGGTGAGGGATAGGGAAGGCTTCCTGGAGATGGAGGCTTTGAGTGGACCTTGAAGAGTAAGAACTCTCTGGGATGAGCTGGGCAGTACAAGCAGAAGGTCCTGGAGAAACCAAGCCAGGAGGTTCTTTCCTAGGTACTCTGCTTTTCATTCACATAGCTCCAGGCCAGCTTTGCCTCTTACCAGCTGGAAGATCTTGGGCATCTCTCTTCCACTCTCTGAGCCTTAGTTTGCCCATCTGTAAAATGGGAGTAATCATATATATTTCATAAGGTCTTAAGAGATACAAGGGAGCCCTGGTGGCGCATGGTTAAGAGCTTGGCTGCTAACCAAAAGGTTGCCAGTTCAAATCCATCAGCCACTCCTTGGAAACCCTATGGGGCAGTTCTACTCTGTCCTATAGGGTCACTATGAGTCGGAATCAACTTGATGGCAATGGGTTTGGTTTTTGGTAAGAGATACAAGAGCATGGAAAGTAGAGTCAGGAAAAGCTGGTATGGAATTGAATCTTCTTGGGCCAGCCATTGCATCTCCTGAGCCTCCATGTTCCCAGCTGTAAAATGGAAGCTCCATTTTGGAGCTCAGTGACTGCAGGGGACAGCAGGCTTCACTCTTCACTGAGTGTGTCCCAGCTGCCTCCCACATGCCTGTACAGGGTAGGTGCTCAGAAAATACCTGCGGAGTGAATGAATGAATGAGGAATTTGTGTTGCTGCCTCTGCCAGGAACTCTCTCAAGCTCTTTCCATGGCCGATTCCTTCCTGTTCATCAGATGGAGCTTACATGCTTTCCCCCCAGGCTCTCCCTGACCCCCCAAAACAAAGTCATCCCATCACTATCTTGTTTTATTTTCTTCGAGGCTTTGTTCACAATAGTCTGTCATCACTGCTACAGGAGCTCCATGAGCTGAGGACCTTGTCTGACCTCTTGATTGCAGCATCGACAGTGCCTGGGACATAGGACATGCTCAGTAAATATTTTAATGAACAAGTGAATGAATGAATGAATATCAGTTCTATCCTCCCAACCTTTGGGCACCGGCCTAGGTTTCTCCTCCCCCTAGGCCTGTGGTTTGTAGGATAGAACAGACTCCACCCGCACCCCAGGCACCCCAGCTGTACAGGCTTCAAGCCCTTTACACTGTCCGAAATGACCTTCTGCCAGTGTACGTCCGCGGGGGTGAGGGCTTGGACCCCTGCGGCCCAGAGCCTGGAAGAGGGCCTGGCACACAGTAGGCCTTCCTTGAGTATCGGAATAAATGAGGTAGTGCACAGCGAGCAGGCTGGAGAGCCTGGCATCCTGAGGGCACCCAGCTGCCCGGCGCGCGGTCCAGGCCCGGGCGCGGGAATTGCGAGGGAGGGCGGCTCGGCGTTCCCCTCCCGCCACCCGGTGCAAACTTTCAAAAGATGCGGCAGCCGCGGCCCCGCCCCTACACGGTTGGAGGCAACGGGCGGTGGGGGCGGAGCTGGTGGGCCCGGGCCGGTGGCTCCGCCTCCTCCCGCCACCGCCCGGCCGCCTAGCTCCCGGCGCCCACCCCAGCCGCAGCCCGCCGGCTCGCCTGTGCAGTGGCGATGCCCCGGAGCCCGACCCTGGCCTCGGCCCCGGCCCGCGGTGCGCCGCGCAATTAGCCCCGGTGCCCGCGCCGCAGCCAACGCCGCGCCCCGACGCAGCGATGGGCAACACGGTGCACAGGACCCTGCCAGGTATGCCGGTGTCACCTACCCGGGAGACGGACGTAGGGGTTCTCCTCTCCCCCGGGGGGCCCGTTGGTGACTCCTGGAGACCCTGACCCTCCTTGGAGCCCTCGGCGTTCAGCGGGCTGGAGTCTTCGGTGCCTCTCGGACCCAGGCTCCGCGCGCGCCCCGCGGCTTGTCTTTGCGCTCCAGGAGGGTGGGTACCACGTCCTGGTTACCTTTGGGACCCCCATTCTCATTCTCCCAGCTTTGGCCAGACGCGCGAAGGGGACGCTGGGGCGATGCCGCACGCCCCCTCGCCTTTGTTTCAGCCCGAGGGCGCTGAGGAAGAAGCCCGGGGCGCTGCTGGGGGTGACTGGAGCCTGGCTGGCTGCGGCTTCCGACGGCCAGAAGCGCCCGTTGTGCCGAGACTACAACTGCTGAGAGTGGGGGATGCTAGCAGGGTACCCCAGTTTCCAGCCATTCGGCGTCCCCGCGGCACATACTACCTTGCTTGGCCGCGTTCCGACGCGCACCCTGTTTGCGCCCCCCTCTGGTGTCGGCTCAACTGGGGGTTCTCTAGCCCCTCGGAGTCGACAATGCAAGGCGCGTCGCCCCCTAGTTAAAGCCACCTCAGATTTTTTGGAGCTGGAGTGAGGGGATCCAGAGAAGGGGGATGGGGTGCGAGTGGGGAGGCAGGAGAGGCCTTAGTAGAAAATACCTGGTAAGTCGCCTACGGATCAGCTCTGGGCTGGGTGCTTTGCATACCCAGCGCGGTATGCAAAGAAGCTTCGCGGTAAAGATGTGTATCTCCATTTTACAAATGAAGAAATTGGGCTCATAGAGGGGAGATGACTCACCCAAGGTCACACAGCTAGTAGGGGAGACTACACTGGCACCCGTATGTGTCTGCTCAGCCATCCCTGCGCCCCCCGTCTTCAGAATAACTATTTCGGCTTAAGGCTGGGCGTTTGAAGCATCCTTTGGGCAGAAGGTGAGAGAAGTGTTTGTATTTAAAGTACAAAGGCCCATGTCAGTGGGGAAGCAAGTCAGCTGTGGGGCAAATTTAGCATGAGGTTTTAGGAGGAGTGGGACAAAGCACTCCATCTCTGTTCTAGGAGGTCTTAGGAGGAGCAGGACATAGCACTCCATCTCTGTTCTAGGAGGTTTTAGTAGAAAAGAGACATATCACCCTCTCTCTGCTCTAACATTCCCGCATGGTCCTCTTATCTAAGAGTTATATGCAGTTATCAAAAAAATAATTCCTCCCCCAGAGGGCATTAAAGTGAACAGGTGCTGAATCCCGGATCCCAAGGCCAATTTATGGAAGAGGAGCCAACTCCTATTTGAATCCCTGGACAGTTTTAGGGCCACTGCATTCAAACCTCTGACTTCTCAGAGAGGTGAAGTTTCTAGCAGAGGGTCTCCAGCTGCTCAGTGGCAGAGGTAGGATTCAAAGCCAGGTCTGCACAATGCTTGCCATTGCAGTAGTGGGAGAGGACCCACCCACCTATCCAATCAGGAGATGTCTAGGGAAACTGGCAAGTACAGCTGCACACATTCTCCTAGCCACAAAGACACCAAGGCACAGGCCCCTTTGGAGGATTTCTGAATTAAGGAATGTTTATGCTGTTCTAGTAAAAAAGCCATTCTGCCACCTGTGGGTCAGCCTTGGGGTGGAAAAAGGGACAGGCATACGCTGGGCTAAATATAGCAAGTTTTATTCAGTCTCCAGCCCACCCAGCCCCCTCTCTGCAGACTGGGCACCATGGGCTGGGAGCCTAGGCTTAACATCAGTTACATGTTGTAGTAGCCAAGTGTGGGAAATTCACATTCTCCACTGGGGCTTGAAGCTTGCCTTGAGTTTGAGAGGAAGGGGACAGAACTGGAATTCCTGAGCCCCAACGGGTTGCAGATACCAAGAATATGAAGGTGAAGGACTGTTTATTCTTTTCTGACCTGCCTATAATTAATTTCTCACAAACACTGTCTTCTTTTTTACACCTCTGTGCTCTGCACCTGCTGTTTCCCATACCTGGAATACCCTTTCTTGTCTAGCCCATCTCTCAAAATCCAATTCGGTTGTCACCTCCCCCAGGAAGCCTTTCCTGACCACCCGTACATTCAGTTCCATCCTCCCCTCTGCCCCTGGGTAACTTCTAAGCCTCTGCTTGTCCATCTTACTGCATTCACTGTTGTCACCATCTCTGTGACTCACCTTGGAGCTCCCTGAGGACAGAGCCTTGTCTTGATCATCTTGTATCCCTGGTTGCCCAGCACAGGGCCTGGTGCCTGGCAGGGGCTCAAAAACTGGTGGTGGAGCTCAACTGTTGCCTGAATCTTAGGCTAAAAGAATGCTTGGCTCAGTCTTGCCCTGTAGAAATCCTTGTGCTTTGGTTCTCAGAAAAAGGACACATGCGTGGGGTTTGTTCTACGGGACTTGAAATAGAGAGCTGGCATTTGCCGAGCACCTGGATTCTGTGCCAGGCTTCCTGCATATGTGGCTGCGTTTACACGCCAAGTGTGCATCTCCTTAAGGCCCCTGCACTTGCTGGTTCCTCTGCCTGGAATATTCTTCTCCCAGATTTCCACGTGGTTCCCTCCTGCTCCTGTCAGGTCTCTGTTCCAATGAGGGCCCTGCCATTGCCCCTGCACCCAGCACTCCCCACAGCCTTAAGGGTTTCTCCTTAGCACGTACCATGATATGACATCCTGTTATGTGTACTGTCTATCTCCCCAGGTACGATTTTGTCTGTGTTGTTCCCTGCTATATGTTCAGTAACTGAAGCAGTAGCTAGTACATAATAGATACCCAATAAATAGGTGTTGAATTGATTTCATTCTTGCAATAGCCCTGCAAGGTAGGGGTTATCATCCCCAGTTTACAGACGAGGAAACTGAGGCTCACAGAGGTAAAATGACTTGTCCCAGCCCATAGCGCTCATCCACTTGGCAGAACCAGACTGAAATCCAGGTTTATTTAGCTCCAAAGTCCTGCATTCTTTCCCTGACATCAAGTGGCTCCCAATCCATGGTTCAGATAACATTTATTGCATGCCCCACCATGTGTATGGTATGCAAGTGTGTACGATAAGAAACTGCCAAAGAAAGGGAAGGAGAGGTCCTTTACAATCGATTGCGGGGAAGCCCCTGGGCAGCCCTTGTGCACCAGCAAATTCAGACAAATGCCCTATAAATGGAAACGTGCAGAAGTCAGCATGAGAACTTGCATTTGCTAAGCTCCTACTGTGTGTTTTACCTATCCTCTCTTCAGTTGCAGTTCAATCCTGCAAAGTAAGGCGTCATCTCTTCCATTTTACAGATGAGGAGACTGAGTCACAGAGAGGTTAAAATACTTGCCCAGACTCTCACAGTTAGGCAGTGGCCAGGCTGGGCTTAGAAGGCTTAGATCTGTCTAATTCCTAATACCAGATGGTCCTTTTCTCTCAACCCCATTAGCTTTAATCTGGGTTTTGTTAAAAAAAAAAAAAAAAGTGTGAACAGGTGGGAGTAGGGGAGGGGAAGCATTCCAGGTCCCAGGGATTTGGAGGAGGGACTCTACCCTTTCTTTTCCTGCCAGCGTATTCCAATCCCTTCCCTCCGTGCCTCTGGTGCTCGCTGGTCATTCTGGTTGGTGAAAAGGCTAAATTCAAACTGCAGGTTGGGTTTAATCATTAAGTTGGTCCACACTTGACCAAGTCAACAGCCCTTTTTAGTGTCAGTTCAATAATCCGGCAGCCTGGAGCTTTGCAGTGAGGAAGCTGCATTGATCTTTCTCTGGGCCAGGCCCTGGGTCAGGGGCTTTACCCACATTATCTTTAAATCCTCGTAACAACACTTTAGAGGGGCTGTATTTATCCCTATTTTACAGGGAAGCAAATTGAGGCTCATAGAGGTAAAGGACCAAGGCACGCATGGGGTAAGGGGGAGAATAGTCTACAAACACCGAGTTCAGGATAGGGGATGCCCCACTCCCTGGGACACTCAGACACCCTGCCCTGCAGAGCCCCTTTCTTTCTGTGTCCTGGATAAGGAGACTGTGTGGGTGCTGGCCTTGATGGGGCAGCCCTGGCTCCCTGTCTGAGTGGTGGGTAGTGATGCAGTCCCTGTTTCCCACATTCTGGACTTTCTCGACTCTTAGTGGGGGGCAGGGCGGAGCAGGGGGCTGCAGACCTTTATCACTCCCCCAACCAGCGACATTCCCTTTGTTCTTTGTACCTCCTTCACCCAGCCACAACTTAAAAGTTACTCGGGCTTTCCTTGCCGTGTCTTGCCCCATCTGCCTCCCTCCCACCAGGCCATTAAGAATGTCTTTTATAGCCAGGGGTTGAGCATGAGGCTTGAGCTGAGCCTCTCCAACGGACAGCCCCTCCTCGCACAGCCCTGAAACTTACAAGGCTGTTAGCATGGTGTCAGGGAACTGACTAGTCAAGGTGCACTGGGGATAGCCTATGAGGATGCAGTGCAGGGGCTGGGGTAGGGGATGTGGGAGTGGAGTGGTCTTACCATCAACGGAAGTGGGAAAGAGAGAATGGTGTCTGTCCAGGAAAAGTGGAAGAGTTGTCCGTGGAGAGTCTGGAGTCGGAAGGAATTAGACCCTTCCTCTGTTTTTATGCTCTTCCTGCTCTTGCCTCTGCTCCCTTCTATCCCCACCCCCTTGGCAAGAGAAGCGGGAGCTCAGGGGCTGTGGGAGTCAGTGGAGGCTTCCTGGAGGAGGTGACATCTGAAAGGAAGTCCAATTGAATGTCTGCCCGCCAAATGTCATCTCCTTCTGCTTTTAGGGTCTTCTGTGGCTCAGACACCCCATGGCCACCCTGATCTCCACTTAAGCACATATTCTTGATTTTGCTGCCTGATTTCACTTACCTTACAACTATTGGGTACCTGCTGTGTACCAGGAACTGGGGGATGCAGCTGTGAAGGAGACAGAGCTGCCCTCCTGCAGCTTGCTGTCCAGTGGGAGAGCCCAACACACTCTAATAGAGTAGAACCAATGATTAAGTCACTGGAGAGCACAGGGTGCCATTACC